GATGCCGAACCTATTGCTTGCGATTAGCTTGTTTTTGAACACTTTAGATGATGTGATGTTTTAATTTTGAAACTATATTTCTAAACTCTAATTAATGCATATTTTATATATATATATATATATATATATATATATAATTCTAAGAAATATTATGTTAACCGATATTTCCGATATATCACCGATATATCGAATATCGGTCCTGACCGATATTTCGTATTCTGACCGATATAACAGCATAGCAATTGGTTACTATTTCTTTTTGGTACATAATCAGATATAACTAGGACCTAGCATAACCAGCTATGTGATCAAGTCCCCCGGTGACCATAACCAGTTATGTGATTAAGTGCCCCGATGACCATAAACAGGCCAATTCGACACCGATCATAGGATCAAATAGTTACTGTTAGATCCATGGAGTCACATGACCCTTGCTTCGAGATGTCCATGGAATCACTTGATAGATATACATTATCTAACTTGATTCGGTCTATCACCACGTCCCTTAACGGGTGCATTTGATGCGCAGATAGAAGAGAAAGACCAAGGTGAAGTAGACAAGTGAAAAAATCTGTCAAATCAAAACGAAGCCTAACATATCCCAACTAGGAGTCGTTTACCAATTGCTTACTCTGCAAGCTTTTATCAGGTATCACTTGCATGGCAAAAACCAAGAAACTTACCTGATAAGCAAGGAAAAAAACCCCTTATCCGTTATTGCTTACTGGGTAAAAGATGGTTGTCAATCAACAATCCATTTTGATAGCCGAAAATGTAATCCCATAAGATAAGGGTGGTGACTCTAGCCTGATAATCGGCACAAAATGTAAAAATGAGTGGGGTAGGATATGTAGAGGATATATAGAGAGAGGCAAGTTCAAACAAAAAGCTAAACATTTTTGCAAGAATGGAAGAATTTTCAAAATCATACATGATTACATGCATGAAAAACAAGTTTAATCATATACAATTAAACACATGTTGCATTGACAACACATAGACGTTTAATCACATATGATTAAACACACCCAAAAGGGTATGATCATACATGATCCTGATAATTCTCATCTTCTCACATCCTATATATGTATATATGTACAGGCAGAGGATCTGTAAGAAGGGGAGTTAAGGTGAGAAGCATAAAAAGTGATCAGATCACTTAATCACCTTTAATCTCAAACTCACCCATGAATCGCGTTTGATACAAGGATTAATCCCATGCAACTCGGTGCATCTCATCCTCATGTGCATCCAAAGGTGCATCTCATCCTCATGTGCATCCAAGGATGGAGAATCTCTCACACTTGTCACCTTAACTCTCTACTAACCAGAACCCAACCCTATATGTATATGCACACCTGTCTCTATACTACTATACTACCATTGACCACCATCACCACACCCATATACCATCTGAATAAAAGAGATCCTACCTCGATTCAATACAACAAATCATACAATAGAAAATGACCATTAAGACAAGAACTTGATAATAATGACATTAATTTTTGTTCAGATATTAGAAGTTTCATATTGGGTTGAGTTATTTGATTCTGAGTTGCAGTATTATGAATCAAATCGAAAGAAATTTCAAGCCAAATCGATATAATATAATGCATCAAGTTCAACTTCACCAAAAGAGACTCATCTTCCATAAACCCTAATCTAACAGTAATAATCAAAACTGGCACTAATTAACAAGTTGAAAACAAACCTAAGCAGTGAGCAGAACAGCACCACCAGCTTCCTTAATCTTCTTCTCAGCAGTCTTCGAAATAAGCTTCGCCTTAACCACCATCGGCTGCGATGGCGGAACCATACCTTTTCCCAACACTTTGAAGTAACCGAACTGAGTAACATCCACAATTGGAACCTTATCAGCTGAAGCATTCTCTTTGGCATCCTGTGGAACCATCGACCAGAGCTTGTCGACGTTAACGATCGGACAATGGAACTTGTTGCGGAGCCGGTGGAAGTATCTCATACCGACTTTACCGAAGTAACCGGGATGGTACTTGTCGAAGAGGATCCGGTGGTGGTGCATTCCTCCGGCGTTACCACGACCTCCGGGATGCTTTCGGTGTTTTCCGATACGACCGTGTCCGGCGCTCACGTGTCCGCGCTTCTTACGGTTCTTCTTGAATCTCGTCGTCATTTCTCCTGCAAAATAGCGAACGATTTGAAATCAAGTACATCTAATACGAAATTGGCACGAACTCCGGTGAGAAATTGCGAATATACATACCTGAAAGGCAGACTCCGGTGAGAAATTGCGGCAGAGATTGGGTATATAGTTTGATTACTCAAACCCTAATTCGTTTTATAGGAGACGCAGAAAATGTCCATTAGCATAGCTCCATGGGCCAAGATCATATGTGGGCTTTTTGCTGAACCCACTTAGAGGTGCTTGGGAAAACCCCATAATAATGGTTATTTGTAAAGCATTTACAAGTGTCTCTTATATTAACAAGCTATAACCAAATTTTCTATTAAGCCTTAGAGATTCTTATTTACTTCTTAATAGTTTTATTAAAATGTAGTTTTTTAATCGTTAAAAGGTGAATCTTGTTTGGCAAAAGAAAAGTCTGTCTCTTAATGGTTTTAAAACTCTCTAAATAACTTTGTATCATGGGTCTCCCTTAACCATTAGCGACATAATTTTATTGTAATCAATTACCAAACAATTATATTTCATTTTGCACTGTATCATGAGAGTCTTTTAATCATTCCGACACTAAATCATTCAGCAACAAACCATTCAGCAACTATCAAATAACCCCTTATATGAATAAATTTGTCTAAATAAATTGGTGGTGTTTGTTTTTTTTATCTGAATAATCCGTTGAGCGAGAGCCTTCCCTCCTATCTCGTAAAGCTCCAGCAAGGTCCTAGCTTTAGGAGCTAGAAGGCTAAGAGAATGTCATAGGTTACGATCTATCATTTCATGAAAAAGGAAAACGAGAAAAGATAGACCCATTTAACTGACCGAAATTTTTAGTGCCAACAAAGTGCATATGTAATTGGTTAATGTAAGGCCAGCATAGCTAAATTCACCGTCCCGAGATTGAGTCGAGACCACGGCTCGTATCAGTAAAGCAACAGAAATCAAGGACACTTCACTCGTGCTCTGAAAAATTGGCCGTCTAAGAAAGGAATACCAACTATTGATTTTAGAGCTCCCGTCTTATTCAAATTTTGTAGATGGATCATTTTCTTTTTAGACTAAAAACAGGGGAAAAGCCCGTGGTAGCAGCGGAGATATTATATTCCGCCTACACAACTACCTTGGCATCTTACTCTGACCTGATCTATGCAACAATGAAATCGCCCTTCATCCTTGCCGGATATGGATTTGATTTTTCTCTTGTAGCAGTAGACTACAGTCTTACCATTATAATATAATATAGGTTCAAAAGTAGGAAGGCCGGCTTGCTTCGTGTTTTTTATTTGCATACCAAGAAAAGCATGGGACTTTTACTATATTCTTTGATTCCCCCCCCCCCCCCCCTCCCGGAACTATTAAGATGCTAATAACTCGCTAGAAGGAGTAGTCGTCACTTAGGAGGGCTATGGAACCTTCTTCCGAAACAGAAATGATGGGCATGCCAGCTCGTTCAATAGAACGAATACGAGTACTGGTATTGGATCCTCCCTCAGCGGAAAGATGGAATTGACCTTGCACACGGACTTCGAGCAGTGTCTGGTTGAAGGAAGTGAGCTCCTTGCGGCCAATCTTCCTAACCTTGTGCGGGCCCTAAAAGCAAGCTTGTGAGTGATCGAGGATGCTAACAGTCTGAATAACAAAAATAACCGATTTACCCCTAGGAAAGTTTTCACAACATTATGATCTTTCCTTTCCAATTGATCATAATTCGTTTTTGTTGGTGTGATTCGCCCATTTGTTCCATACCAAAACAAAGAATCGATATTGGACACTGTTCAATGGAAACTATACGAACAAACAAAGAATCAACAACACATTGGCAACAACACGATGCATATTGGACACTGCTCAATGGAAATACATTACTGCTCACTTAGAATTACATTCTGTTGAACAAGCAGCAACAAAAATCAACAAACAGAAATTGACATGGCAGAAATCGAAACTGCAGAACAGGGACGGACCTACTTTGGTGGCTATGGTGGCACGTGCCACCGTATTATTCCTCCGTCGAAGGGTAAAAAAATTTAGGTCCGTGAGAGGTGCAACCATATTAATCTGTCGTGTGTCACCGTATGTATTTTGAAACTACAATGAGAACAAGTTTTATTTGGTAGAGTTGGTTTGCAAGGCTTTTATTCCATCCCGTACCCAAGTTCGAATCGTGTTAGTGTCATTTTCTTAGTCAAATAGTGTCATCGATTGAAAAAAAAATCGTATATTTATTTCTTATAGTCACATTTGCGGTACACTCCAATCTCATCCATTTACCAAAGGCACCCTTTTAACATCAATATCACAAAACGAAAATGGATATTCAAATGATTGGAACATGATTTTATTCTTTTTGACAAGAGTGTTTACTTTGTAAAACGGTAACCAGTAAAGATATTCCGTTACAAAATCTATTTGCAGCGAAAACAAAGATATGAAAAATCAACCCGTTTCCTGTTCAAACTCATCGCCTTCAGACTCTTCGGCATTGTCAGCTTCATCTTCGTCTGCATCGTTCTCAAAGTCTTCTTTGTCGTTCTCAACTGATGTTTTTCCTATCACAATTACGTTGCTGTTTATCTTCCTGATGTCGTTATACTGTAAAGATAAACGATACACATAAAAACAGCAGTTAAAACGATATAAAAAAACCAACTTAAGTATCTATACGACGAAGCAACCATAAATGGTTATCAACTATTTCGTGAACCAATATGCACATTCAGATAGAGACATCTTCAATCATCCTTCTCTTTTTTCGCACATTTTCATAAGCTAGAGGTTGGAAACAAGTGCTTTACTCAATGGGTAGAGATCATGTCTGTGTAAATCTCATCCTCGACAGACCCTACCTCCTGGTGAGATATACTAGGCTTGTTTGGTTTGATATAGTAGATGTTTATAAACATAATGAACAAAGGGTGAAGTTACTATGGGGGCGTTTGAGAGATTTGGATTTCGTGAAAGGATTCAGAATTTTTGGTGTGCTTGGTTTATAGGATTTTGAATGGAAATGAATTCCATTCTTTATAGATGATTTATAAAAACAAGTTATAAATAATTATAAAAATAATTAAATTACTTTTTATTTATTAATTATTGCAAAACAAATGTTTTTTACATATTTTTAGAACATGATTTATAAAAACAAATTATAAATGATTATAAAAATAATTAAATTACGTTTTATTGATTGATTATTACAAAACAAATGTTTTAACATATTTTAAAACATTATTACAAACAAATTCTATGAAATCCCGCGAAATACCAACTACTAACCCATGGGATTTCTAAATCCAATGTCATTGAAATCCGAGAACTTCAATTCCGGGTTTTCCTTTAAATCAAACATGGGATTGGAATGGAACTCAATTCAAAATCCCACAAACCAGACGAGCCCTAAAGATGTGCAAATCATTTGGATTTGTTTCTATGTGCATTGGATAAGAAATAACATACAGAGTGGGGAGTTTTGGCAATTTTACCAGATTTGCCAGTAACCCTAGGGATTCACTTTGGGTATTGCATAATAAGTTTAGCATTCAAAGTTCTAACTTCAAAAGGCCACAGTGTATCAAATACAACATATGTCACAAATTATGAATCTGGTAATTTGATCTACTTCTAGAGTATTATCAATCACATCAAGCATGCAAACCTGCTAATGACAAAAAAAAAATACCCAGTGTATCCCACTCGGATGTGGAATCTGGGATGGATAGGATGTATGTGCCTCTAGCCTAAGGGGTAGAGAGAAGGTTTCTATGAAAACCCCGGTCTTGTGAAAAGATTTTAGAAATCATGAGAGAAACAGAGGGTTTGTCAACATTTTTTGAAGTCCCAAAAAGAATCGTGCTATGGGACAACATTACTTGTCCTATAAAATCATGCTAATTGTAAATGGTTGATAACTTCTACCCACTGATACAATGCTAAAGTTAAATGATGAATACACCTAACTGCGGTTACCAAGTACCAACTAACAGATCTTCAACAGACTAAAACTAACACTTTTCATAAATAGATGATAATGCCCTTTTGTCTAATTAACTGAGATACAGTCCCAAGGAACTTGCCAAGTTTCTCCATTCTCGTTGTCATCCTCCAACCCAAGATCATCCACCTAAACGGTCCTAGGACCCCTTCGTGGCTTGCCCTTGGCTACATATAACAAGGTCCTCGTGTAATTTGATAATACAAAGAAAAGATTTGTGTGGTTTAAAAACAGGCATCGACCAGATGCTGGTCGTACCAGATTTAGTGAAAAAAAATGTCAACTCCTAGTTGAGACAACCTTTGCATCCTCTTAGCTCACTAAGCTACCTCACTCTTAAACCCTTCTGGTCCAAAACAAAGAACCTACCTAAAAAGAGTTTGCCTTAACCATTGTGAATTATAGTATGTGTACACATGATACAGCCTAAGTTAAATTTATTCACAGAAAACCTGAAAAATAAGTTAACGCTGCCTCAGTTTAGTTGCAGCTTCCCTAATACTATAAACTTGAATCAATGTCAATACACACTTACACAGAAATATTTGAAGCATCCTCAAGTTGACTAAGGGGGCGTTTACCAAACGCCTACTGGGTGTCACTTACCTTAATGGGTGAGCATCGCAAGGACCGGGAATCTTACCTGATAAGAAAGGGAGAAGATTCTTACGCGGTTAGTAAGAGATGCTTCTCAATTATCCAATTTGATGCCGAAAATCTTATCCGATTAAAGTGAGGGTGCTGACTTAAGCCGCCCCTAACTTATACCATTGTGCCATCTTGACAAAGTGACCTTGGAGCAAGTTATAAGTTGGATTATTATTACCAGGTCCTTAATACACTTGAAAAATATAAATATTTGACGAACTATTCTATCATTCAAACCTCAAAAGTGATTATCGGATTAAAATTTATTTCTATCAATTATTAGGGATCAGGATTCAGAAACCCATAGCCTGATACTAAATGAACATCAATCTTCAGTGAGCTGTTGACAGCACAATCAGAGCCTCATCAATTTTTATAAATCTATGAATTGCAAAAACAAAGGTGATATACATAAGCAAAAAATAGTAAATTCAAGAGAAACATGTTACGGAACCATAGATCTGGAGGTCAATTTAGCGTTCAATATTGATTTAAAATACACAACTAGGTTTTTACATATGAAACTGTATCAACATTACACAGACCTTCAAACAGAAATTAAACTATGGAACGGTTGAAATCATCTCTAATGAATCATGAAATCAAGAAATTCAGCATAAACATGATCATGAACCAGCAAATTTTACATGATAAGGCAGGTATTGACAAATATATACGGACCTTTTCTTCGAATTCAGATTCCTCAATAGCAAGAAGTAGTTCCTCGCTGTGTGGCTGAGGCCATTGCGGAGGAAGAAGAAGCGACGTCGGAATGATCCTCGTCGACGTCGGGTATTGCGTCATGAAAGCCGGAAATTGCAGCATCTTTCAAATAGATTTTTAACAAATCCCGCTACACATCTCCATGGCTGGAGCGTGTTAAAAAGTTTGAGTAAATTACGTTTTTCGTCCCTTAACTTTTTCACTTTTAACAGAATTCATCCCTATGGTTTTCTTTATTATAGATCTTTTTCCTTCATCTGTAAAATTTCTATGATTCCGTTCATTTCATCCATACTGAAAGACTATTGATTTGATGGAATGGTTTTGGAAAATTTGAATTTGAAATCGAAAGAATTTGGAATGGAATGAGATTCCATTTTTTATGAATAATTTATAAAAATAAATTATAATAATTATAAAAATAATTATGTTACCTTTTTTATTAATGAATTATTAGAAAATAAATGTTTTTAATATATTTTAAAACATTATCATATGCAAATCCTACGAAATCCTGTGAAATCTCAACCACCCCGAATGATTTCAAAATCATATGTTTGATGGATTTCAACAGAATCCTAGGATTTTAAATCTAAACAATGTTGCATATTAAACACGAGATTGAAATGAATTTGAAATCTAAATCCCCACAATTTCATTTCATTTTAGCAAACAAATAGACCCTAAATATCTGTTCGTTAGCTGCTCAATGAGTTTGACGGGACTCACACACATAATTGTTTGGTAGTGACTTCATGATATATAAAACGGCTATTTAAGATTTCTCCGAACAAAATATTCTCAATCTATACAGACAGATTAATCAACACAGACACACAGTCACCCTTTTCTTTTATTAACCTGGATATGTCGACTAATCTCAGGTAGCCCAGAGTCATTGCATTTGAACCTCCGTGGCCACAAACTTGTTCATTAATTTTAGCGATCCAGCCTGATCCCGTTCATTCTTTCAATAATGAAATCCAAGTCTGCTTTTCAAACATATAGAGTAAGGGGCCGTTTACCAAACGCTTATTCGGGTAAGCGCTTACCAAGTCACATTACCTTACCGGATGAATATGGTAAGGACTAAGAATCTTACTCGGTAAGAGCGAGAGCGACGACTCCTACCACGGTAAACTCTTAGCGGATAAATTGTTACATGCAATGTCGTTTTGGTGGTCTAAAATCTTACCCAATATGCAAATAATAATGTTAAATTTTATCAGCAAGTACTTACCGGGTAAGTATTTAGTAAACGACTCCTAAGACGGATCTGACGGACCATACAGTTTGGTGAAATTTTCTGTTTTTCTCCTTGTGATTTTGAAATTACAATTTTCATCTTCATGATTTATAATTCTTTACTATTTCGTTCTTATGATTTAAACTTAATTGTTATTTTGTGCCTATGGTTTACATTTTGTTTCTATTTCAGTGTCTCATATTTTAAAGTCGTGTTTAGTTTCAGGGACGAAAATAGTGAATTGCAAACCATAGAGACGAAAATGGTAATTTTAAAACCATAGGGACGAAATTCACAATTTTTAACAAACCATATGGATAAAAATGTAATTTCTTCAATAAAATATTACCAAAATATGTGGAAAAAGTTGCATTCTAAGATTGAAGAACAAAGTTTTAGAGACTATTTGACAGTTGCTCAATAGTTTGATGTAAAATGATTAAATAGTCAGAATGATTAATAGACTTTCATGATATAGTGGAAAATGAAATATAATTGTTTGGAAATTGTTTACAATGGAATTGTTTACAATGAAGCATGTCAATTTTCTTTCGGCATGATTCGTGCCATGAACAACCCATACCATTTTCTTCATAGACCTAACATGATCCACACCATTTCTCAACACACTTCCGTTGGTTTTCTATTTCTCGTGCCTTTTTTCTCCTTCTTTCATTTGTTTCTCGAGCTTCCTTAGTGAACGATCATCGTCTTCATATGGCTATCCTAAAACTCAACAAAAATTGTTGGTTATCGAAACAGAACCCAACAAGACAACAAATGAGGGATACAATGCAACTAACGCTAATAATGTGCATTTTAACCAAAATTAATACACAAAAGTACATAATGACTAATTTGACACTAAGAATATGTACAATAAATGACTTAAATACTACGATGATTTTTGTAGGTACAAGTTGGTATTGACACATTACCAAGATCATAAACCTATAAAACGGAATACAAAATGCAGGGATTTTTTTTTGGTTCGATTTACGATTTTAGCCAATGTCGCAACTAGTTTGGTTTGCAATTTGGAGCATGTGACTTTTAATTTGTGGTTTGAAAAGAATATGCTGAAACCGTATTATACTGTTTGGTTTACGATTTTAACTCTAACCACACCATAAACGCCTTTAGATCCTCTTTAGGACCAACCCGATTATGAATAAAGAGTTGTTTGCTTACGGTTTAATAAGCAGTGGTCTATAAGGCTTATTTGCTCATATATGAGTGTTTTTTACGGCTTAATCGTTGTCATTGAGCTAAAACGGTTATATGGAATGAGTTAGGACTTCTCATTTGTTCAAATTAAGTCACATGGAACAAATTAATATTAGAAATGTCTTTAAAAAATTCAACTCTCTCTCTTTTGTCTCCTTCATACTCTTTGGTCTCCGGTCTAGAGATGGCCAAATTGAGTCTGACCCCACTTGAGACCAAGACCAAGATGGTCTTAGACCGGTTGGGACCGGTTAAACATTTTATGGAACTTCAAAATCTAACCCGGGATCGGAAGCGGTTAATACAAGCTTGATTTTTTTAAATCTTTAAAGTTAATTTTTATAATTTATTATACAAATTTTTTCTTATTTATTTTTGGATGTGATGGAGACCAGATAGCCTGTTTTGAAGTGATCGATCTAGGCAGGGACGGACCTACAGTGATGCCAACGATAGAACGTGCCACCGTATTATTTCTCCGTCGAATAGTAAAAAAAATGAGGTTCGTGAAAGGTGCAACAGTATTGTTTTGTTGTGTGCCACCATATGTATTTTGAAACTAAAAGGTGAACACGTTTTCTTTAGTGGAGTTGGTTTGCAAGGCTTTTATTCCATCCTAGACCCGAATTCGAATCATGTTACTGTCATTTTCTTAGTCAAATAGTGTCATAGTTTTAAATTTTCTCTCTACATTTGTTTTTTATAGTCAAATGATGCCACAATTTAATTTTTTTTCCTATATTTATTTCTTATAGCCAAATGATGCCATAGTTTAAAAAAAAAGTCTGGGTCCATCCCTGGATCTAGGACCAACCCATGGCCCGATATCGATTTTTGGTCATCTCTAATCCTGTTCTTCAAACAAACAATTTATGACCGTTTACCCGAACGCTTACCCGGTAAGTGCTTTCTAACTTATTTTACTGAGTTAAATTTTAGTCCAATCAAAGTGGTATCATGCGCAACAATCTATCCGGTAAATGTTTATCAGGTAAGCGCTGTCTTTTTCACTTATCAGATACGACCCTTCATTTTTATCATCATTATTCCCGGATATTAATCTCCATCTTTATCATTACTGTTACCGGATAAGATTAATATTTATCAATAAAAAGTGACAAAAGCATCAAGTATTGCACCATTTTAGATCTAAGTTCGTAAGAAATATTTATTATATATTATCGATCGGATTCATATCTGATTCGATTCAATCCGATTCAAACGCATTTACCATCCAATAAAGATAAGATGTACTTGAAGAAATTGGAGCAGAGAACATGGACCCCAACAATGGAATCTATACTAAACGAATCGTTTTCTTGACTACGATGGATTCCTTCTCCTTGTAGAAATCGTTCAATTTGTCTCATCATTCATAATGCATCCAAAAGCAGGCGCTTAGTTCATCCCTCTTTCACTTCAATTGCTCGATTTTGCAATGGATCCCAACCCTAAGAAGTTCCCAATTCTATCATATGTAATGGCTAAAATCCCCAGTGTCAGTCGTTCTCAGTCGCCGGAGTTTGACATCGAACAACCACGGCCGACGGTTCCTTCCACATCTGAACCGGAACCCTACTTCGAACTCGCTGAACGCATGCCTTACTTGAACGATCCTGAACTTATTGCTTCCATGCGTGCAGCTGTCGCCGATGTATCTCGGACACGATCTGTACTGAAAACCCTAGGTGAGTGTCCTGATCATGAATTGATCGATATCGCCAGGTCACGACTTGCTGAGATCGAAGAAAGCTTGGTTAATCAGCTTGATGAGGTTGCGCTGTCTGATGCGGATGCGGTGGAGGTGGACAAGCGGAAGAAGGCGGAAGAGATGGAGATGCAGTCGTTTAAGGCTATGATTTCTTTGTATGAGATGCATCAATCATATGAGAAGATGTTGAGTATGGCGGAGAAGAGGCTTGAGAAGCTTTATGAGGAAGCGAAGAAGGGAGGAAAATCGGTTGCGGTTGATGATCAGGGGAGTTCTAGCGAGGTTCCAACTGTAGAGGATGATGTTAAGGATGAAGTGGTTGCCATTCTGAAGGATGCGTTAGAGAAGGATCTAGAAAGGATCGATTTATCAGATAGGCGGTTGCCGTTTCTTCCTGAAGCCTTTGGGAAGCTTCGTATGTTGGTTTCTCTTAATCTATCTTCGAATCAACTTGAGGTTAGTTAATGATTTCATCAACATATCCTATTTATTATTATGTGGTTGATTTCATCTTCTTCAATTAATTTAGGGTTGACATTCTTTTTTGCTTCGCTGCCATTGCTGTACTGGTACACTTAAATCATTGTGGAGATGAGATGTCAATGATTTGCTATCAGCTTGTGTAAAAGAAAGACCCTCCACCACTGCATATATAACTCTTTAATCATGATTGAAACTGTTAGCGAGATATCGATGAGGTAGCCTAGATATTAGTTCAATATAATTATCAAACGTTGTGGATAGATCTCTACCATGTAAAGTTGAATTGCTTTTGGGTTAGAAAACGGCATTGTATCTAGAAACATGAATTAGAAATGCTAATTGTGTAATTGTAAGTGGTATGTTGCAGTAACTTATAACTTTGGCGATTCATGACTTGAAATAATGGGGCATTGGCTCCAAATGCAAGTTCGAATAAGGGGTATTCGTCCTTTTTAGTATATCTAACCATAGTTTCATGTTTGGTGTAATGGAATCTGATGTATATTTGAGCACTTTCTGACTCCTTCTTAAACTTCAGGAACAGGTTTGCTGCAAATACCGTAAAACAATGATTATTTCCTAACAAATATTCTTGTTGATACCATAGTCCGATTTCATTTATGATTTATCTTCACATTGTGGTTGGTTTGATCTTGCTTTTTTGTTGACATGAAAGAAAAGAATTGGATTGTTCTTAGATGCATAGTTTTTAATTAAATGGAGAAAGGAGCCTCTTATATTGATGTTCACTTCTTTCAACCAATCTATCATCAGAAGGTAGTACAAAATCACGCATGACACAAGTCCAGGGTTAATAGTTTGGTGAGACATTTAGACTTGAGACAGGACAGGACAAGATTGCATGGGACAAAAATGCATTTTTTGAACAAAAATCAGGGAGATGGAACAAGATTGGTAAATTAGTAAACCACCCATGTCAAATTAAAACCTTAAAACCTTGCACAATACTTTCGCGTCTACCTCGATGATTAAAAGCACATAACGTGCACAGTTGACTTCTGTTCCACTTTCACCAGCAGCATCATTACACTACATCTGAAAACATCAATTATTATTTGGTGGTGAAACTGGATTCATATACTCCATTCCTTCACTAGTAAGGGTCCTACTTTCAATTGTTGGGCATCCGAGGATAAGTATCACTGTACAATAAATGACCCAACATCATGTGCTCTATTGACCAGATCCATTAGAACCATGGAAGTTGGATTATTTTTCTTCAGCAGTCAGTTAGGCTTTACCTTAAGGGTATAATAGGAAAGGCAAAACTAGAACTGTTCTGATTTTTGTGGTCGATTGAAGTTTCTTAATGGAATCTGTCAGAACAGTCCACTAATTGAAAAACTGAGGGAGTTTCTATAGGATTAGAAATATCTCGTCATGTGAATGACTGAATCCAAACCCTCCGAGATCCTGCTTTCGAGCTAGATATACTGGGTTTGTTTTAGTTTTATGTGAATGGCTGAATCTGAGGAAGAATTTTTAATCATAGTTGCAATTACATTCGTATGAGTGCTAGAATCTCTTTAGGGTTAATTGACTTTATCACCTTGATGACAAACAAAAAAGTTATTAATACTGCTAGTGAAATTACCAAAAGGGCATGTGTTTGTATTTGTAGCACTAGGAATGGGCACATATAGGGAGGTAAATATGTTGTTGGTTGGCCATGGGTAAACCACTTCTCGGTAGTTTTTGCTAGCTCAAAAAGTCAAAATCATACTACCATGATAATGTTCGTGTACATCCTACTCCTCCCATACCCTACTTTTGAGAGGGACATATTGGGTTCGTTTGGTTTGGTTTATATATTTTCTGACCCTGTTTTTGTTTTGTTATTTTTTTTGGAACACTTTCCATATTGACCACCCTCCGTGTACTGTAACAGGTTATTCCCGACTCAATTGCTGGACTTGAGAGCCTTGAGGAGCTTAATGCTTCTTCCAATCTTTTGGAATCTTTACCTGATTCCATTGGGTTATTGCTGAAGTTGAGGATTTTAGATGTTTCTAGCAACAAGCTCGCTTCCTTGCCCGACAGCATTTGTCACTGCAGGTACATCTGTTTAGATACGTCACCAAATTTTTTCCTTCTCTCTCACGGTCTCACCTACCACTACAATATAATCGACTTCATAAGACGTTAATAGGTTGTTTTATAGAACTTAAGTTTATAGGAATAAACAATTGTGCATTCTATGTAAATATGTTGCACTAAGTTTATAGGACAATTTTGAAATAAAGTGTCCTATTAGTTTTGTATATGACATTATTCGAAAAAGTTCTTTATAAAAACAAATGTCCTATAGAAAGATGTGATCATAGGACACTTTATTTCAAGTGTCCTAAAAAACTTGTTAGTATGCCCCATTATGTTTTAGATGAAGGATTGTGTGAGCATAGGAGTTAAGGTGAGAAGTGTAAAAAGGGATCTGGACCCTTGATCACTTTTAATCTCACCTCCACCCCATGAATTGCGCTTATCACGGGAATTGGTCCGGTGCATCTCGGTGCACCACATTAGTTTTGATCTTCAATTAGGATTGATCCAAGGGTAAAAATCCCTTCTTACCATAACTTCCATTCTCACCAGAATCCAACCATACATTCTAACATCCTATTGTAATATTTTTAGATAGGACGAACAATTGTTTGGTCCTTTTTTTGTTAACCGTGGGTGTTGGACCAACTTGCTCGACTAACCCAGCAAGCTAACCCCATGGGACCCTGAGAACAGCCTGGCAAATTCCCAGTGGCATTGGAGGGACTCGAACCGGTCCTATAAAGTAGTCTATTAATATATTTAGCCATTTTTGGCGTCCTGTAAAAAACCGATTTTGTTCTAGTGTATATTGGTGAACTAGTGTACAATTAACAGTATGATCTTGTTTTAGGTCATTGGTAGAACTTGATGCTAGCTTCAATAAGCTAACATATCTACCCACCAATCTCGGCTACGAACTTGTGAAATTGAAGCGCCTTTCGGTCCCTTTAAACAAGCTGCGCTCGCTTCCCACCTCTATCGGTGAAATGGAATCTCTTCAGTTTCTAGACGCGCACTTCAACGAACTCCGAATCCTGCCATCATCCATCGGCAGGCTTTCGAAGCTCGAGATTCTTAATCTTAGCGGTAACTTCAGCGACCTTACATCACTTCCCTTCACAATTGGCGATTTGACCAGCCTCAAAGAACTTGATGTCAGCAACAACCAGATACACGAACTTCCCGTCACCTTAGGCCGCCTCGAGAATCTTGCGAAGCTGAATGTGGAAGAAAACCCGTTAGTGGTTCCTCCTAAAGAAGTGGTGAATGAAGGAATCGAAGCGGTGAAGGTGTTCTTGGCGAAGAGGTGGCTCGATATGTTAGTAGCGGAGGAGGAAAATTGCAAGTCGGCTGAGGTTGACCAACCACAGGGTGGTTGGTTAACTCGTAGCACCTCGTGGTTGACCACCGCTGTTGCTGGTGCCGCTGGAACTGTTGGCGGATATTTGGGCGGTGGAGGTGGAGGTGGAGGTGGAGGGAACACAAACACAAAGACAGACCCTTACCTCGATCAACAACTATGATCAGGTTACTAGTTCAAGTCTCCTCAGGGCCATTGGGGATTTTCATGGCTCCTCTGGGCCATGGGGGATTTTACTGGCTGCTCTGCTTTGGGCCACTGAGGATTTTTCTTAATGTTTTGGGTCACTGAATATTTTCTGGACTGTGAGATATTTTTGACTCTTATATTCATGGGTTTTTTTTTGGTGGTTTGCAGGCAGGAAGAGAAACTATACATAGGATAGTGGTGGTGTTTTTGCAAGCATATGGTGATGGAAAGACTTCATCTTGTAGCACTTCCCATTGGTTAAAACAAAATAAGTTGGGATTGTTGTATTTTGGGTTATGATATTTTTTTATGTAAAATAGACATTTCATGAAATGGTTTGTATTCTTTATTCTCTCAAACCGGACCCAAACAGAAAATGAGGTGTTTGTACAAAAATTGGAAGGCCTAATATTCTAAAATCCGAAACTGATATTTGGATTTGGGTTTGGGAATTGGTTTGAAACCTAAAATACACACACACATATACAATTTAAGATCTTTTATTAATATATTTATTTATTTATTTAATTATCTTTAGAAATGAATGAATTCATCTTTAAATTCGATTTAATATATTCTTTTTTGCCCCGTATACAACCGACCCCAATCCAAAACCTAACCAACTCTAACCTGAAGCGATCAGAAATCCAAAACCAAAATTCGAAGATTGGTTTCTATATCCTAAATCTGATTGGATTTTTGATTTGTCCACCGAAACACCCCCACCCCTAATTGAGTTATATATCTGAACATGAAATGTGACTACATTTTCAACGGATCCATTAAAATATAGATAATAGAGAGCTTTTAGTTTTTTGTCTTTTTGTTAAAGACCAAGGGGCTGTTTACCAAACACTTATCTAGGTAAACGCTTACAAAGTCAAGTTACCTTGCTGGATGAATATAGCAAGGACCAATAATGTTACCCGATAAGAGCGAGACAAAAATTAAGAGTCTTACCCGGTAAGTGAAAGAATTATGGAAGGATGTCGGGCTTTATTTGACATATTTAGTTTAATAATTTACCAATCTTGTTTCATTTCCCTGGTTTTTGTTCTACTGATTGGATGCTAATCCTCATTTATTGTCTTGTCAAGACCCTTCATTAATGCATTAGAAAACGATATAAACCGAACAACATTGATGTGTTTTTATATTTTAATAGGTTCAAAACATTATGGAGCGAAATACAGACAAATTGAGGCAAAAAGCAACAAGTTGTGAGATGTTGACAGATCCGCGAAGCAGAGCCATTTCAATCACATCTCACTCATGAAGTCCCGATTAAAGTGATTCAAGATTCTCCAGAAAGACAACAAACATATCTACAACTTCGACTTTGTGAGTTTCTGCAAATTCAAGCTGCATCTTAAAACTATTGTCGAAGTCGGAAGATGCATGGAGGACAAGGACAAACGAGAGTACAAATCATCCCAGCTGCAATTTATCTAAGGTACAAGTCGAACAAGCAGGTAAATATTGTCGTTTTCATCCTTATAGTTTAGAATCTATTACTTTTTCCTCTTTGTAATTCACAACTTATTGTTATTTTCCTTCTTCATTATTAAAAACCACAGGGACTAAAACCCACAACTTTGAAACCATAAGAACAAGAGTAGCAATTTTTGACAAACTACAGGGACTAAAAACGTAACTTCCACTAAAAAGTTGGGAATGCTCTTTGTGGGGTTTTGAATTTTGAAGATCGAGTTGAGAACAGAGAGCAAAGGAGGCAGTCGGATCTCTCGTTTAACACCGGCAAAAAGGAAACAAAATCTTGCAAAAAATAGAAGATGATCGGTTTTCGGTTATTTGAGGATTCGATCGGCAATTGCAGAGAACAGATTCAGAAAACCCTAATTCGCACTATTGCAGAGAGATGTCGTGCTGGCACAATTGAGGTATTCGGTCGTAATCGCGACCGGAAAAGATTGCAGTTTACAGGTTCATATTCGTTTTCTATTCCTGTTTAATTTAATTTCTGTAGTTTCTAATTGAACACAACAGATTGCATTTGGATGGATTTTGGATTGTTATCGTCGTTTTCTTTGTTATATCTGGAAGTTTAGGGTTTGAGTTTATTGACTAATTCTCTATTCAAATCACTTACTTCTCTCCATTTAGCAAAGTAGGGTTTTAATTGGATAGTGGTATCTAAAACATATCTTGAGGATGCCCACGTGCATAACAAAGATCAAGAATCTTATCCGGTAAAAGGCATGGCCAGAGACGTATACAGTCGTTATAGATTTTTTTTGGGGTTGTGAAAGGTGCTACTGTATTGTTTTGTTGCGTGCAACCGTGCATATTTTAAAACTACATCTTATAATATAAGTTTTCCTTGGTATAGTTGGTTTGTATGGCTTTTTTCATCAGTCCTAGCCTTGGTTCGAATTTCGTTTGTGCCATTTTCTTAGTTTTTAGCTTTTATTTCAGATTTATTATGTTTTTGAAAAAAAATTGCAGTCAAAGACTCAACAATCACATGACCTCACATACGAAAAAGTAAAGAACTAATCAACAGACCAATGATGCTTTTGTAAAAATTATCTATATATTCATGAAAAAAATTCTTAGGTCTACCTTTGGGTCTCGAGATACGATAAGAACCAAATTTGTTGGCCAAGAATCTTTATCCTATAAGGTAAATGAGAGTGATGACTCTTGTCTGTAAACACTCACCCAAAAAACGTTCAGTAAACAACCCTTTATAGACGCTCTAACATATATAGAGGTTTGATGGTATGTGTCTAGCTGATATAAGATTCCAATATCTGATTTTCTTGAAAGAAGTTGATTAAAGAAATAAAGTTGGTGTGGTTATTGCCAACCATCCCATGTGCAAATAATCAAAGTCACATGGCTTCTAATTCCTCCCCCTCATTATTTGATCATTCTAAAAAGCATCATCCTTCAATTACCATTTTCATCCCCAAATCTCAGATTCTCTCCATCTTCATCTCAGATGATGATCAATAGATCAACCACCACCACCACCGCCGCCGCCGCCACCACCACCAAGAAAGTTGCATCATGGTGCTTGATCTTTATGCTTCTCTTGGTGTTCATCTTCATGTCTAATAATGGTGGCCGTGGCGGATCATGGCGGTCGTCGTTCTACCTGTGGTCTATGGTTGGAGTTGTAGGTGTGGTGTTGATCGCGGGTTTGGTGGTGGTTATGGTCAGAACCACCATCGTGACGTGGATCATGGTGTTGGTGATGATGGCTTTTGCAGGGAAACGCCGCCGCGTACTGGCGGTGGAAGGGCGGAAGATCACCGGAGATGTTGCAATGCAGTTGTTGAAGGTTGTGATCAAAGAGAGAAGCATTGTTGCTGTTGCTTGTGCTACATTTTTGAGTTCAATGGCAATGGTTTGGGTTGCTTAAATTATAAGTTCAACTATACTTTTTGTTCATATATTAAAATTAAAAAAAATGGGTTTTTTTTTTTTTTTTTTGCCTTTTTTGGTTTTAGGGGAATTTATTAAATAATGCATATATAAATAGAATTTTTATTTTTATTTTTTTAATATATGCCAATTTTGTATAGTTGTATTTTGAGTTATTAATTTCAAGCAATAATTTCTAGTTTTATGTGAAAGATTTTTAAGTTTATTAAAGTCAACCTAAAACATAACAAATAAATGGTTTTTTTAGGTTGTTTAAAATAAAAGAAAGAAAAGAGAAATTAAGGGTCTGTTTGGCTCATTGTGAAAATGAAAATGACAATGAATGAATTTTTATTTCACCCAGTTTTGGATTTCTGGAGGAATAAACTCATTATATTATAGAATATCAAAGTGGTTTTTTTAATTCCCATTTATTATATTTTGAAGTATATAATATTTATATACGGCAAATACAACAAATAAACTTACACACCCTCCTCACCTATGATGATGTTTGAACCCCTGACCTCCTAGAAGACCAAGGGTCACTTCCTAGAAGACCAAGGGTCACGATACCGCTAGGTCAAATGCCCTTTGGTAGTAGTATAGTTGTTGGATGGCTAATTTAAAATAGGAATTTTAGTGTTTTTTTGCTACAAATATTTATAATTTATGTTAAAATAGAAAAACAAAAACAGAAGGTGAAAATCTTTAAATTTAAAAAAATATTGAGACCTAATACTTGAGAGGAGAAAATAATATTTTAATTTTTCCACCAATAACAGGTATAAAAATTAATGGTTTAACAGAAGTAATTAATATTTTAATAATATAACCAATGTTAGAATCTTTAAGACAGAATTCCTTTGAAGTTGGATACAATATTTTTTTTGAAGATTTTGATTTCTGATACTATATTTTATAAGAAAACAACATATCTGTTGGAAATGCTCTAAGATTTGACTCTGGACACTATCCATTGTAGAAATTATGTCATCTCTTGTCATGGGTGCATCTCACCGTAATCTTCATGCAGGGACTTGAACAATGCGTTTCGTGTTATGATTTTGTTTCTTCAGTACGAGATTGGTCTTTTTGATATTAGTTGATGTATAAACTGAATAACAATTTTCTTGTACATTTTCCATGAAAATATTGGTTTACAGAATATAATAGATTATGACAATAACCATCAAAACTTACAAAATTACAGATCGTATAATCTAATAAAATGGGTTTTGCCTGTTTTCACCGACATTATAAATTATCTAACTTGATAAATTATGTTTTAATGTATTGTTTTCGTTCAAGTCGTGTTATAGTCAATGATTGAAAGATGCATTTTTCAACAGAAAGTGATTAAAAGCAAAAAACTGGGGCTTTGTTGGGATTGGTTGCGTTAAGGACCTAGGACGGATGGTCATAGGTAGGGGTGCTCAAAAACCTGACCAACCCAACCTAACCCAACATGAAATAACCCAAGTCGAAGTAACCCGATGTCTAATCAAGTTGTAAAATTGTTAAACCGTATGTATTGGGTTGATATTGGGTTACAATTATTTGAACCCAACCCGATGAAGTCGATATTTTTTTATTTCTTGGATTTAATATGATTGTTGAATTTCTATTAATATATACATCAAACAATTACACTATCATGTATGCTTTTCATATTTTCAATCTATTCACATCTCTATATTACTCATACGTATATATGTTCAGTAACTGTGAACATATATGTAAATTGAGAAAATTAACTGAATGTAATATACGTAAGAAATATGGATAAGTTGTATCAAATGGTTGGTGATGAAAAAAAATATGAGTAGAGAAATAACATATTCAAGGTTAGAAGAATATTTTAATGTACCAAAGTATCAACCCGACCAACCCGTAAGGGTTGGGTTGGGTTGGGTTGCACTTTGGTTTGGGTTGGGTTGGGTTAAGATTTTTCAAACTGCAAGCATTGGATTGAGTTGTTCAAATGCCTTCAACCCGATCAACCCAACCCATGAGCACCCCTAGTCATAGGAGCGTTGGCCCTGGGCTTTTTTTAGATAGAGTGAATAATCTATAGTCCGTTAACATTTTAAATATAAAATTCTTTTGGGTCCCTGCACTATTGTTGATCTGGTCTATTTGTGTTCCGCCTCTGTAAGAACCGGATGATTAGTTCGATCATTACTGTATTGGACCCGGTCAAAGCCCCGCATGGCGGATAGTGTTTAAAATTGGATGAGTTTATGTTGTTTTTTATGGGATAAATATAAATAATTAATTTGATATTAACATCAATATATTTATTTTCTAAATTTTATTATATCTTCAAATTTATATTTTATTCAAAAATAAAAACATTTTTTTTCTCAAAACCACATAAAGCGTGTTATAACATCTACAGAAACAAAATAAAAATTAAGATATATCTTGCTGCATTACGCGAGTACCATTCTAGTAAATTAAAGATATCGATATGACATTAAAGATTATAAAATTATAGTTTTTAAAAAAATAGTTTATTTAATTTAAAATTTTATAACAATTTAGATAATTTAAATTTAGAAAAATGGGATTTAGTTTATTATTAGTGCTCGAGTTATTTTTGGATAATAATAATGATAAGACTAGAAGAGTACTCGCGCAATGCAACGTGACATATCTCGATTTTAATATTATATTTTATTATTTGTCTCTGTCGATGTTATAATACGATTTTATGTGTTTTTAAAAAACAATAATTTTTTTTGAATAAAATATAAATTTGAAAATATCATAAAAATTTGAAAAAAAATATATATCAATGTTAACATCAAATCAACTATTTAAAAGTTCTTATTTTTTTATATAATTTATTTAATTTATTTTTTTATTATAATTTAATTTAAGTTTAATAACGAAATAATTTATTTTTGATTTAATAATATAACATTTTATAAAGATAATAATTAAATATTCTGTTAGAACTCAATAATTATCTTAATTATATTTTAGATTTTTTATATTTAAAATGAGATGTTTATCCTGTATTTGATTATGTTTATCTACAGTTAGTTACACGAATTAAGATATAGAGCTTTAATAAGTTGTACTTACGCACAATCTACTTGTAATTTTGAGTTTTAAGTAATATACATTAATAAACAATACTTTACGCATAAAAAATGTTTTTTAAGAGTTTTTGTCAAATACTTTATAATATAGTATAGATTTTTTTTATTATAATTTAATTTAAGTTTAATAACAAAATAAATTATTTTTGGTTTAATAATATAACATTTTATAAAGATAATAATTAAGTATTTAGTTAGAAATCAATGATTATCTTAATTATATTTTAGATTTTCTATATTTAAAATGAGATGTTTATAATGTATTTGATTATGTTTATCTACAGTTAGTTACACAAATTAAAATATGAAGTTTTAATAAGTTTTACTTACGCACAATCTACTTGTAATCTCAACCTGACCCATTGACACCCCTACTTTTAAGTATAAGAGACAAAAAGAACAAAAAATTGTAAACCATAGACACATAAACAACATTAAATTATAAATGATAAAGACGAAAACAATAATAAATCGTAAACCATGAAGATAAAAATCATAATTTCAAAAACTATAAGGACAAAATTGTATTTTTAATAAACCATAAGGACTAAAAAAGTAAATTTACTCTTTTAGTTTTTATGAATAAAAATATCTTCCATTTGTTATAACTGAACCCTCCATCTCCATAGCAACGCTATCAAACCCACCTCTTGAATGTGATAAACCCCATGGAATCTGCTTGAAATTGGTGAAGCTATTCCCTAAGGAATCGCGAATTACGGTTATGTTGTAGCTATCAAATGCTATATTTGAAACGCGATCAAATCGCTTCAGGCTTCAGCTAATTTGATTAATTTCGTTGTTATTTATATTTTTTCTGTTTGATCTATTGATCGATCAAAAGTCGCTTTTCCTCTGTGTTTTCTAGGTTTTTTTTTCACTTATTTCTCTTGTCATGGCACCGGTTTCGACTGTGATCAAGGTTTGTTATGTGCAATACTCTACTCTTTTGGTTTTACTCCATCAAATTTGCGATTGTGTGGTGTTCTTGTTAGTTTATTATTGTGATAATTTGATTAGCGTTTAGGGTTTTGGTAATTGGCATGTTCGATACTGTTGAATGTTGAGGTTATTGTAGAAGATACTCATGTGGATTCAGGTTACTGATGTTGGGGTAATCATAAGGTTTACCAAGTCTCTGTTTACTTGGTAAACAGGTTGTTAAATAAAGTCCTATTCTTTAGGATGAGTCCATTTTTATCTTAGTTTGTTAGGTTGCACGTTCTTTACTTCTCTTTGTATTGTACGGCTATTTAAAGCCCATCTAGCTACCAGTTAATAACAAGTCAGTTCATTTCCATATTGTTGGTTTCAATTGTGTGCTAAACGCCAGATTAACAACTGATAGGTGTATTTTAGCGGTAAAATACAGATTTTTACGTTTGGGGTGTTGGGTTTAAGCACAATTGGTATGTTTTTCCACCGAAAGAGTACTACTATTACATGCATTTTATTGGTTATTACGGTTAGATCTTTAGGATGAATGTTAACCATTCTGCAATTTTTTTTTATTTGTGTTACTTTGCTGGTTAATGCTTGCAAATTTTCATCAACTTATGGTTTGATTCTTACTGTTTTTTTTTTTTAATTCTTGCATCATTTATCGTTCATATTTTGTTTGGCACAACTCTTTACAATCACGGGTTTTAATTCATACCACCAAAAATGGATGACATGGTGCTTTCTAAGAATGAAACGACATTCAATTTTTATGCTTAGGGTTTTAGGTTCTATGGTAGTGTCTTTCCACCTGCGGGATATATACTAGCATTGTAGAACGACTTTTTGGATTTACTCATTGCATATTAAGATGCATTTCATTTTATAATTTGTTATTTTGGATGTGGCATGGGATAAAATTTGCATATTAGTACCCTTTGCATCATAGGGCACAAAATTTTTGTGATGTTAGTTTAGTTGGAATTATAGTGTGAATTGAAGGTTCTTGAGATGTACTCAAGTGAAGAAAGAACAAAAATTATAGCTTGAGTTTTGGGTTGAAAATGTAATTATCAGATATATATTGACTTTCCTATTGCTCCAAATTTTGGAAGAAATACATTCTCACATCATTTTTAGTAATTTTCAACATTTTGGATTTGGTTCAGGAGTAATCTGTTAAAAGTTGCACGCAATATAGAATCTTGTATTGATACTTTGTAGTTTGTGGCCCAGTTATCTATCAGCAGAGTTTTATTTCACTCGGCAATGTTCAATATGTTTTCTGGTTGTTGGGATTGTTACTCTTGATGTAGTTCAAATCATGGTTTGATCGTATACATCATAGCACTACCAGATACATGATCAAGGGCCTGTCATATGAATGCAATTACATACAAACTCTAGCGTGTTAGTCGAGGCATAAAATGACTCTAGTCATTCATCAGGGCATAAACCATACCAGATGGACCAAATCCCAGACAAAGTGGGGTCTGGGGAGGGTAAGACATACACAACCTTTTCTCTACCCTAAGACCAGTGCTAATAGTTTTGCAAAAGTTAGAACTAACACAAGCAAGCAAAGAAGTTTTGAAGAGTTGAAAAACTGCTTGAAGCAAACGAAGTACACTCCTTAGATAGCAGGAAGTATTTATTGGGGCATATCATGAATCCATGCTCAAATATATTTCGTATCAGTGTATATACATATACGCATTTACATCCAGGTTTTTTGATGCCCAGCTGCTTTGACTAAATCTTTTAAAATAATTGTGAAATATCTATGATATTGGTGCAGGTTAAGTTTGGAGACACACTCCGGCGCTTCAATGTACTTATTCAAAAGGAAGAATTTAATTTTGACATTGTCATGTTGAGGAATAAGATTTGCAGCCTCTTTGGTTTTAGTCCTGATGTTGATTTTACACTCACTTACATTGATGAGGATGGAGATGTAGTCACTCTTTGTGATGATGATGATCTCCAAGATGTTGCAGCTCAGTCTCTTGATCCACTCAGGATAACTGTTAGTTTGGACACCGACAATCTTGATAGATCTTCTCTCACATCAAGTGAGAGTTCTACTCCCCTTAGTTCTCCACAAGACCAGCTTCCATCCCAATTCTTGAACTCAAGGGTTCTTGAAATCTTGAAGTATGTGCCAGAGTCACTGCATGATGGACTTTCAAAGCTTTTGCTTTTCTTGGCATCAGAAACAGCAAATTCTACGGTGGTGCTTGCTGAGCTTGTAGAGAAGATGCAAATGACCCACCTGAATAAGCCTTCTGAGTGTAAAGCTGGCTCAATGGTTACATCAGATATCAAAGAGCAACAAGGATTGAAGATCGCTGAACCATCAAAAAGGTCACCTGCTACTTATCTGGAAGCATTAACTATGAATGAGCACAAGGTTTGGGAGGATGATGAAGATGGAAGTGCAGACTCAAAGAACAAAACTGTGCAGATTGAAACAGTGGCGAAAGATGTTAAACATGAAGATTTACATCCCCCAAGATCTTTAGACCTTAATGTTCCTTATTCGGGTCCTGAAAATTTTCAGTATTTGGTCAATTCCGAAGATGTTAAAGGCTCTGGTAGCAGAAATTGTGGTGGTGCTGCATCTTTTTCTGATGATTGCACGACCCAACTTGCATTTGAAGCTGATTCTGTTCTGAAAAGTAAGAAAGATACCGAGAATATCAGCACTGGAGTTCAGCAGAATTCTGTAGGTTTTGGTGCTTCTAATCCTGATTATCTGAAGCGTTGCCTTCAAGATTCCAATATGAAGGAGACGAGTGGTTTCCCATGGACTAAAACGATAAAAGCAACTAATGATTCTAGCAGCTCTTCAGGCTGGCAACAGGGGACTTTGAGTGCAATTAATGAATGCCCATTTAAGGGGATGATGCCTTTATCAAGTGACTCAACATTGCATGCATGTCCTTACGCATCTCGTGTCCCTCCTTTTAAGAGGAGCTATAATCACAGTAATGGTTTAGATAATTTATTTCATATGGGTGTTCAATGTGATAAATGTGGAGTTCATCCAATAAGTGGGCCTCACTACAAGTCAAAAGTGTAAGATCTTTTTGAAATATAACGGTGGGTTCAGTATGCAGGACAGAACGAAACAATATAAAACAGAAACTTGTTGTGCCATGTCTGGCGCAACAATTAGACTGGGACAGGACATGATTGACTGGACAAAAAAACAGTTTTTTGTCCTACAAAAATAGGTGGAATAAAAATAAGGAAGATAGGTAAATTACTAAACTTCCCATGTCAAATTAAAACCATAAAACCTTCCACAATTTATTCACTGTCTACCTCACTCTCTCGCTAGTCCTGTCCAGTCAGTTCTGTCCGGGGTACCAAATGCACTCTTACAGTCCTATATTATCTTCAGTCACTGCTTGAAACTTAACCTTTTTTTGCAGGAAAGATGATAACCATCTTTGCTTCAATTGCTTCGAGGAGATGGGACATGATGCTGATTATATCAAAATGGATCACCCAATGATTGCTCACTATCCCTCGCCTTTTAAGGGGTTTCAAGATCATGTATGTAGTTTTTATGTATCTTAAAGCTTAAGGTGGATTCGGTTTTCGGTTATTAATTTAGACTATATATTCTTTCATTTTATTGGTTTTTGCTAGTCTGTTGGTGCCTCCGCTCCTGAGGTGAAGCCCTCTCTCTCAAAACTAGATAGTTGCTTTGTTCTTGATGTCAATGTTTATGATGGCACCATCATGGCTCCATCCACCACGTTTACCAAAATCTGGCGAATGAGGAATAATGGCGATGTTATTTGGCCCCAAGGCTCGCAACTTTTGTGGACTGGTGGTGATTGGTTAAGCAATACTGTTTCTGTTGAGGTCGAGGTATGCGTACGTCTTGTATTTTTCATTCAGCATGCCAGGTTTATCGGTTTTTAACACTCAAAACTATTTCAGATTCCAGCCGATGGTTTGCGAGTAGACCAAGAGCTTGATATTGCAGTTGATTTTGCTGCCCCTGAACTTCCTGGCCAATATGTTTCATATTGGAGGATGGCCTCTCCATCTGGGCAGAAGTTTGGACAACGGGTTTGGGTCTTTATCCAGGTAACTCGATGGCATAATGTGAACCAAATCAAACAGACCCAGTATATCCTACTCGAAAGTAGGGTTTGAAAGGGTGAGATTATGCAGATTTGACCTCTACCCCTAGAGGGTAGAGCGGTTGTTCCTGAAAACCCAATAAGATAAACCAAACTAAACAAAACAGAGTATATCCTGCTCGAAAGCAGGGTCTTGAAGGGGTGAGATGTATGCAGACTTGACCTCTGACCTCTGACCTCTACCTGCAGAGAGTAGAGAGACTATTCCCGATAACATAATAATATAAACCAAACCAAACAAACCTAGTATATCCCACTCGAAAGCAGGGTGTGGGAAAGGGGAGATGTACGCAGACCGGGGTAGAGGTGTTGTTTCCGAGAAAACATTAAACCAAGCCAAACAAACCCAATATATCCCGCTCTAAAGCATGGTTTGGGTGGGATGAGATGTACGCAAAGACCTGACCTCTATTCCCAGAGGGTAGAGCGACCATTTCTTTCTGAGAAGATAATAATATAAACCAAACCAAACAAATCCCAAATATCCCGCTCTAAAGTTGGTTCTGGGAGGGATGAGATGTCGGCGTACCTAACTTTTACCCCCAAAGGATAAAGCCTGGGAAGACAATTATATGAACAACCAAAACAAACCCGGTATATTCGGTCTAGGAGATGTGAGATGTATGCAGACCCTCCCGAGGGCATAATCTGATATCGTTAAATTGTTGGAACTGAATCCTTGTATTGTTCTTTCAGGTTGATGATGGTTTGAAGGATTCAGGTGAAATCTCCATCAATTTGAATCTGCCTCCTGTGAAAGACCCTCAAGTTGTAAAGTCGGGAATGGGCCACGATAGTGAACTTCACGAGAACCATTTTGTTGGAGTCGTGGAGCCTGAAGATCTGTTTTTAGATGCAGAGCCGTATAGGGATCAGGTAACGACTTCAAGCAAATAAAAGCTAGCCAAGGCTCAGTATGGTTTCCTTATTTAGTAGGTTCGAACCTTTACAGACGTGTGTTCTTGTTTTGGAGCACATTTAACTCGAGTAAATAGCGTTGCAGTTACGGGTTTAATCCCAAACTTTCATTTCAACTTGATGTCGTTCTTTCCTTTCAAACCCGATGATTTGATACTTTATGCATCGTTTTTTATACCATAAATCCTATATTCTAAGGGTGCATTTGGTACACTGGACAACACACAACAGAACAATATAAAAACCTGTTGTCATGGACTATGTCCGATAGAGACAAGATTGATAAATTACTAAACTGTCCGTGTCAAATTAAAACTTTCAAGAACTCTTCCATAAAGACACTGACTTTTGTCTGTCCGATCTTGTATGGTTCTGTTTGTGTACCATACACACCCTATAAGTATGAGAAAAAGCTCGGGATAAACATAGTTTATCCCTGATTTAGATACAAAATTCTTGTTTATAAGGGCACAAATGTAAATTTCAAACGAGCCGAACATAACCATAAATTTTACTACTCGTCTCGTACCTTACTCGAATGAACAAAATCGATAAGAATTTAGAATCATTCTCTAAACATCGAGTCTTTTAGATGTTCGATTAAGTACGTTTCTGAGGCTGTTCTTGCTCTCTTTCTTTCTCTTGCCAACTTGACTCTGAGTCGACTCATCAAAGTCGTCACCCAATAACAGCCCGTTCTCGAGTCTCCTCGACACAGCCACAATCTCGTACGAGTCCCAAAGCGATTGCCGGAAATCCCAACTCGTCGCACGCTCGCTACCGTCTTTGTTCCGTGACGGTTTCATGATTGCTTCGAGCTTAAACCGAGTGGGTTTGTTCTTGAAATTGAGGCGGCGGGCGTCGAACTCATTGGTGGCGGTTGGGTCGGGGGCGGCGGTGGCGGTGGAGTGGCCGTGCCACGCCTGCGCCACCGCCTTGATGATCTCAAGTTCATGCTGTTCTTGAGTTTGTTCAATCTTTTTCTTCATGGTATTTTGGAAGAAGGAAAGGTGAGTATGGTTGCCATGGTGTTTTTATTCCTATCTTTAGAGTAACATATGAACCTCACATGATTGAATTGATAAACGAATACAAATTAATATGCTATCAAATAGGATATGTGACCCCCACAAAATTGAAATATCTCCCAAAATCTTTATGAAAAAAATATGTATTTTTGTGTGGTCGAAATATAAAAACTAGAATTTTGAATGAAAAAACGTGAACGGGGGGCGATTACGACAACTCAAGATGACCGATGTGGGGGCGGGTATGGGAAATGAGGTGGCCGGATGCTGTGAGGACGATGGTTGGTGAAGTTATATGGGTCACGTATTCAGTTTATCTTAAAATAAATGTACGTTTTCAAAAGTAAGAGCATGTTTTCTAATAATTTACCTTAATAAATGCTTACTGGTTGAGACTAAAACAAGGATACAGAATCTTACCTGGTAAGATAAAAAAAGGATCGAGAGTCTTACCTAATAGGTGAAGTTGATGACTCTTATCTGGCAAATGCTTACCAGATTATAAACGTTTATTATAAATTTATTTTGATGACCGAGAATGTTACATGTTAGAGGCAAAAGTGTAAATATTATATGTGAACTTTATATACTTTCTAATTATATTCTTAATTATAAGGTAAAAATATTCATTATTTCTCCTCCATTATTTTTTTATGGTAAAAATTGTTATTAATAAATTAAAAATTATAATTACATCCCGTATCCTTTTGGGTAAATTGTAACTTGATTTTTATTTTGTATAACGTATTTTTAAAACTTTTATTTTTGTACCTAAGATGTAAAGTTTTAAACATTTAAAAACCCGGGTAACCGGTTGAAACATTAACCGGTTATCATGCTGATGTGGCGAGTGATGTGGTATCCAACTCAAATTATTTGCTGACATGAATATCTTAATTTAACCGGTTAATATTTCAACCAATTACCTGAATACTTAAATGTTTAAAATTTTATATTTTATGTACCAAAATGGAATGTTTGAATATACGTTACTTAAAAAATAAAAGTTAAAGTTAAAATACGGTTATTTTTCATACAATTTTTTTTTATGATAAAATATTATTTAGGGATTGAAAGAGTAATTAATGAATAAAAATCAATTTTCATTTAATGATATTAAATATTGAAAAAAATTTAATTATTAATTAAGTTTGACAAAATAAGCTCTTCAATATAAATTAGTTTTCATTTAATAATATTAGATATTGAAAATGAAATAAAATTTATAACATTAAAATCATTTCATTTTCTTCCATCAATTTAATTGGTTTTGAAGTAAACACACACACAGTTGTATACTTTCTTTAGTATTTTTGTAGGGTTATTAAGTGGATGGTTAGGTTACCATTTATTTATACTTTTAAGTCACATTATAGATACGTAGGGGTCTATTTATTAAATGCTTATTAGATGTAAGTTATCTTATTGGATAAGCATACAGACAGAAAATCTTATGCAATAGCATACCAAATAGGGGTTTGCATCGGGTGGGCAAACCCCTATTTATATTTCAGTTTTCGGACGGATCGGGTAGTCAAAAACCAAACTCAACCCGAACCCAAATATCTCCCCAAAAGTTGGATTTTGGATTTTTGGAGTTCGGGACATTTAGGTTTTGGACAAATACATTATTTTTTGTTCGAGTTTAGATTTCAAACCCCTCGGGTTTTGGACACTCCTAATAGCAAAAACTACAATTTTGCATGATAAGTGAAGGAGAAGACTTTTCACAAGTCTAGGATCTAAGTTTTTTCCCCCAAACCTACCTTCTTTTATTTTATACCTTTTCAAATTTCTTGGGTTAATTTTATTTCTTTCACACTTTTTACAAACGGGGATCGTCACAAAGACTACTGTTCCACTCCTTGAGAGCAGATATCGAGATAAAATATATCCGATTCCTTTGATTTTCGTCTCCGTAGACATTTCCCAAAATCATATATTTTCTTGTTCTATAGACTTGGAATCATGTAACACCAACTTGTTTTTATGAAATCTCAAAGTAACACTAAACCTTCACAGCAAAAACACTATGAAAGTTCATTTTTGCTCGAGAGTTAGAAACTATGTCTTCACATAATTGCATTTAGTCTCATGAAAAGGGACCCATCTAACAAGAACCCGAATATGGAAGCAACTTGTACTTCACTCTAAACCCATTTATTGGAAAATTTAAAAAATAGCCAAAACTGATATATGGTTTCACTTTTTAGCAATTTTCTGATCCAAATTACTTTTTAGCCGATCCTTACACTGAAGGCTTACACATATGCCTCTCAGGTTTAACTTTTGATGACCCCCGGCCCGATCATGGCACATTCCCATGCCTACGTACGATCACGACTTGCCACGGGATTAGTCAAGAACAAACCTTTCTAAGAAAACAAAAACCCATAAATCATAACATTCATACCACAAATGATCCAACGGACCCAAAAAGACTGGAAAGTGCTTTGTGTTTGCGAATATGAGGAGGACACTTGAATAACAAATCTTTAGCCTCCATTTCTCTTCCTTCATCAAACATACCCTGAAACATATTCTGGTATGCAGAAATTGAAGGGCTTTCTTTCACACTCAATGCCTTCAAGAACTCCAAACACTCATCAATTGTTCCAAATTTCGAGAGATACCCGACAAACGCCTCCGAAAACGGCGGGTACCCGTGTTTTCTCATAAGCCGAAGAACCTCCAACGATTCTTCAATCTTTCGTTCTGCTAACAGCTTTTGAATCAGATTCTTGTAGGTTGCTTGCCATGGTTTCACGCCGCCGCTCTCCACCATCTCCGTCAGTAACTGGTGGGCGGCTATCGCGTTTTCTTGATGCAAAAACCCGTTTATTAGAACGTCCAAAAGATCCGCGTCGGCTTCGCAGCCTTTCTCGATCATATTTGCTAGAAAGATCAGAGCTTTTTCGACCTCATTGGCTGAACAGTGTCCTTGGATCAGGATCGTCCATGTTTTGATGTCGGGAATGCATCCGTTTGATTCCATTAGATCGATCACGTTTGAAGCTTCTTCTAATCTTCGGGCTTTACAAAGCCCGAAGATTAATTGGCTGTAGGTTATGTTATCGGGTTCGTATCCCGCTTCTTTCATGGCTGTCATCATCTTCTCGGCTTCATCAAACTGACCTACACTCGTTAAAGATCGATGAATACCATCATAAACGCTTTTCGAAAGAGAATTTCCTGTTTCTTTGAATTTATTCACGACTCTGAATACAAGATCTAGATCGGGCGAACGATTGCCTGCAATGTTCCTTAAAAGCTGACTACAATCTTGAATCGACGGCTTATAAGGACTATCCATCATTTGCTCGTAAAGATCCACCGCCTCCTTAAACATCTTACGTTTCTGAAACAATCTTGTGATCTTTAAATACGTATCGAGATCCATTTTGTGACCAACGTTCTTCATTTCGTTAAACGTACTCCAAAACTCTTCTAACGAATCTTCACGGCCAAGAACCCTGAGAATCGCGTTGTAAGTAACAGTATTGTGTTCATAATCGAAACTATCACTAACCCATTTGAAAAACCCTAATGCTTTCAGAGGATATGATCTTAAATTCTTCAATACTCTAAGAATGAAATTATCCGATAGTTTCGATCCAAACTTCATCTCCTCTAACCTCTTCTCAACCCCATTTCCCCAATTTGATTCAATCAAAACACCAACAATCTGATCAACTAAATCATCCACATGATCATCTTTCATCATTGAATTATAAAATTTGGTCAAAAGTGCAGCTTCATTAACCATCTTCAAGCTCTTGAAATCCCTAAGAATCAATAGATACGCTTGATCATCGATGAAGAAACCACCTTCTTTCATCTTTTGAGCAGTGATCCACAACTGTTTTATCGATTCTTTGTTCCCATAGATTCGAAGCATTAAGCTATACATCGAAGAACTGGGTTGAAACCCTAATTTTCCAACGATCCAATTGAAGAAATCGGATGCCTTTTTCGGATCCTTCGATAGTTTCTTAAGAACATACATGACAGATTCATGGGTGAAATCGGATTTTGAGTTCGATAACTCATCCTCTAACTTCTCAGACCAATTTTCAGATAAAATCAGATTTAGGATTTGTTCTGGTTTCGAAGAAAAGAACAGTCGTCCATGGAAATTGTGGAATGGAGAAACGTAAGTGGGTGCATATAAGTGAAGAACCCGAGTTCTAACCTGATTATGGAGGTGAGTTCTGGCCAGTTGAGTTGAGTATAGCGAGTTAGCGAGCTTGATTGAACTCAGTAATCTCTTCGTTAGATTCATGGTGGCTGCCATTGAAATGTGGCTAAAGTTGCAGCTGAACATAGGGGGAAAGGGTTATCGAGGGTTTTGGCCCAATGGAGGGATCCGAAACAATGGGTCAAGGCGGGTCGCGTTTAATCCATCAAATACTATTTGACAAATAATTTGGTGCCATATTTTTACTTTACCTGCATCATATAATTAAAAACAACATAATACTTGGGATGATGTTACCATAATATGTTTTGTGAGACCATCTAAATAACATTGAGTTGTTTGTTTTTTTAAAAACACTGAAATATAACGTTTTATTTCACTTCTGATTAATAAAAAATAATGTTAAAGTCTAAAAGCAAAATCAATAAGACTGTTTTTATAAACTGCTAAATGTTTGAATTTTGTTTAAATTGTCTATTTTATTCATAAGAAAATTATAGTGTTGAACTTATGGATAAATTTATACAGTTTCACATATTAATCATCATCATCATCATTACGAATTTTAATCTAAATTATATAATTAGCATTCATTTAAATGAAAATATGCCACGATATTTAACATATTAAAATTTTGTTAAAATATATCAATTGATAGAGGTGAGGATCGATTGAAAAAAATAATCGATTAAGGTTAATCGATTGAGAAAACGTTGTTACTGAGTGTTTGGAGAATAATAAGACACAAATAAGAGGTTGGTTTACCTCTTACTAGATAAGATGACGATAAAACATAAATGTCTCTGAAAAATTGGAAAAAACAGTCTGAACAATCTTCCCTCTTTAATAATCAATATAAGAGATTGATAAAATCTTTTTAAAAAACAAACAAGGCCTGAATCTTCATAATAAGACACTATAAAGGTATTCACAGTGTTTTAGTGTGAAGGTGATTAGGTGTTTTTTGTATATACACAATATTTTGATGTGAAGATTCAATGTTATTTTGTGATCTCACGGGTATCACAAAAACAAGTTGGTCTCACAAGAACCCAACCCATCAACAAAATGGGAAATATTTAATAATAGAAAATAATTATAATTCTTGAAAAAAAAAACTTTGATTAAAGAAAAATATATTTAGTATTTAATGCACAATTTCATATGATTTTTCATCTAAGATTAGGATTTGAAATATTGATTAAGATACATTTGTTTCACTATGTGCACATTTTTATCCTGTTTGTGAAACAAAACTTACACGTAAAAAAGTTTCACACTATGAACCGAAAACATATGAAGCAAACACATTGTGAAACAAATATATGTTAATCAATATATTATATGTTAGTCTTACATAGGAAAAATCACGTGAAACAATACCTTATGGTAAAAGTTTTCACGATTATCATAATATATGAAGTTTTCAAATGATTAAACCCCACAGTTTTTAATTCATATTTATTTTGGTTTTATTTTTAACGTCTTGCTTTTTTTAGTTACGTGTTTATACTTCAAAATTTTAAAAACCGGACTCATGGTAATGTTTGGCAAACAAATAAATAACTGGACAAACCAAATCAACTTACAAAATTTTATAAATAACAGTTAATATAAATCTTGTTGGACCCAGATCTGCAGAAATTCAAGGTTAAAGCAATGATAAAAGAGAGATTGTAGAAGATGATGGATAGAAACCGACGCTTTCTTTATTGAATGGAAAAACAAATCTCCCTCAAAGCTTCATCGATTCTCATGTGTATGAACTCTGCTAATGAATGTGTTGGTCGATCGTTCTAAAATCTATGCCTATATCACCTATTTATAGGAGATATTTACAAAGAAACTAGATCCTACAAATATGGAAAGATAATCTTTATCGCAAATAAGTTTATAGGATCAACATCATCTTTTCGTTCAGAGTTAGGAAAACCCTGGAGTCAAGGTTTTCAGACTTTCTTTCTTCAGACTTCCTCTCTTCAGACTTTGTCACTTAGCCGCTTGTGGAAGTCTGAAGTCGGGTATTCTCTTGAAATAATGAAAAATAACTCTTCAGACTTAGATTTGTACGTTTGAGAAGCTTTCTCCCGAACTTTAAAGTCTTTATTTCTAGAGATTTGAAGATAGCGTCCATAACATAGTTCAATCAGAGGGGATCGGTTGTATTAGCACTTAGCGTCCAAAGGAGCTCTGGTCATCCAGACAGGCTCTGATCATCCAGAGGAGTTCTAGTTCAAAGCACTTAGTGTCCTGAGGAGCTCTGGTCATCTAGAAGGGCTTTGGTCCTGAACACTTAGTATCCAAAGGCACTGGAAGAATACAACCACGTTGCCTGCCACGTTAGTCTAGCTCATATTAGTTGCGTTAATGGAGTGGGTTCAAGCAAAGAAAATTTATGGAACGTAGGAGAAGAGTGCACCAGCCCCAGGTGCAACAGTAACATTCTCTACTCACAGTTCCTTAAATATAACAATAATGGTGCGGTTTCCAAGGAGTTTTGTTGGTGTATAAAATAATATAATTTCAAGGATGCCTCGAGGTGAAGGAATGTGAAGCATTAGCACTAATAGAACCCGTATCATGTAACCTTCGAGACAGATTCCCAAGTGGTGACTTGCTCTGCAAAATCAAAAGCAAGAAGATAACACTGAATTCAAGATCATCATGCAACACTGGCAACATCTCGTGTTAAACTCATCCTTTTAGGGTGTGTTTGGTATCTAGACAAGACATGACAGGACAAAGCATGACATGATAGAACATGACATGATAGAACAATTGTTCAACGTTTGATAAGATAAAACTGGACAGAACAAAACAAGTAAAATGCCAATTTACCCCTAATGAGTTGTTTATTTTAATTAATTTATGTAATATATTAAATTATGATAGAATAATTATTATTATTTTAAAAATATATCATTAGAAAGTTTTCGTCAAAATAATTAAAATGAACTAAATAAAAAGTTTATGTAGTTTCCAATTTTTATTTTTTTATATCGTTTCTACATTAAATTTTATTATTAATATTAATGCATAAATTAATAAAAATATAAAAACCGTATAAAGATAATATTTTGAGGACAGTAAAATGAAAGTTTAAGAAACATAAAATATAATAAATAAAATTTAAAGAATAAATAAAATGTAAAAAAAAGACTTATTTGATGTTTTAAAAGAGAATTAAGTTTTATTTTGAGGTTATATTGGTAAAATATAAGTCTGTTCCATCTTGTTCCACTATGTCCCAAGGGGTAGGGGTGGAACAAGTCTGTTCCACGTTGTTCCTGTCTGTTCCACATAAAAGTCATGCTAAACATGAGACATAGATCACTGTCTTGTTCTGTCATGTCATGTCCAATGTACCAAACACACCCTTAAGGTCCAGTTCGTTAGGAGAGATAAACGTTATTCACGTCTTAACAGAACAATCTATGTGTAGCCTTTTCTAATCAGCCAGTTAAGGGTTTAAACTTTATTTACGCTTCTGTTGATCATCAATAAAAAGCTTTTAATTTCAAAAAAGATAAATTATAATACAAAAATAAAAACGTTAATCAAAAAAATATTGATTAAAAAAAATTTATAAATATAAAATGACTAAAATACCTTCATTTAGATTATGTTTCACGCTTAGGAGTTGGCCCACAATTGGGAAAAGTAAAAGGAGGGCGTGGTGTTTGTTGTTGGGTTATTTGCTATGTGCGAAGCTTTTCATGCTACGTTACAATCTCTTTCTCATTCACCCCCAAAAAGTCGAACAAATACAATAACTACTTTTTCTTTCTGTTTTTATGTATTTTTATTATATTATATTATTTTATTTATAAATCTATATGTTTTTAAGGTTGAAGCATTAAATGGTTAGATTAAGATATTCATGTCAGCAAATAATACTGAGTCAGATGCCACATCACTCGTTACATCAATACGGTAACCGGTTAATGCTTCAACTGATTACCCAAATACTTAAATGTTTAAAGATTTACATTTAGGTACCAAGATGAAAGTTTTAAGAGTATATTACCCAAAATAGAAATCAAGTTAAAGTATATTACTTTTTCATGCAATTTACCATTTTATAAAGTTCAAACGTATTAATAAACTGTATTTATGTAATGATTAGTTATAAATATTGTATGATATAATAAAAGTATCGTATTAATATTTTCGTGACTGAAATTTTGAAAATTAAAAAATTGAAAAAAGAAATATGAATCTATGGGTGTTATATTAAAGATAATAAAATACTTGTTTTTTTTTTTCTTCATATAATCTATTTAATTACAAAATTAATTATATTTAACATAATTTAGATCTCTTTTTTAAATCGAGATAAATTCGTATGTTACTGAAACTTGATACATTATATTTAGGGTAAATTGCATGAAAAATTAACGTACTTTAATTTGATTCGTATTTTGGGTAACGTACTTTCAAAACTTCTATTTTGATATCTAAGATGTAAAGGTTTAAATATTTAAGTACTCGGGTAACCAGTTGAAGCATTAACCGGTTACCATGCTGATGTGGCTAGTGATGTGGTATCCAACTCAGTATTATTTGTTATTCAACCCAATTTCATCCCATTACTCGCTACATCAACATGGTAACCGATTAATGTTTCAACCGATTACCCGAGTACTTAAATCTTTAAAAAAACTTTACATCTTAGATACCAAAATGGAAGTTTGGAAAGTACATTACCTAAAATAAGAATCAAGTTAAAATACATTATTTTTTCATGCAATTTGCTCTTATATTTAGTTCTTAAATTTTATATTCTAATCTCATTAGTGTGAAATTAAATCTTTTTGTGATGGATTATATAAAATGATTTAAATAGTTGGTTACAGATAAAAATTATTCCAGTAAACGTTAAAAACTTAAAACCTAAACTCCACCTACCTACAACAGCTACCACCCCACCTTCTCCTATCCCCCGGTTCATGGTTCATAATTAAAGGTTCTAAGTTTTTTGTTTTGTTATGATGATTCTTTATAGGTGGTTCACAGAAGAAGGAAGGACCACGACGGTGATGGGGAGAGGAAGAGAGTTATTGATGGTAGCTGTTGAGCGATGA